ACCACTAAGAGGCAGAAATGGTTATTTTCATTTGCACAAAAAACAAAATAATAATAATAACAACAACAATAATAATAATAATAACAACAACAACAAAACACAATTTCTAGTTTACTTCCTATTCATGAGAATTTACCCCTTCTTTCTTATTAAAAAAATAAGAATGATACAATGATACTTTGGGAAAAGTGTGCAGTCTATAGGTTATGGACCTCTTGTTTAGACAAGGATCAATAAACAGATGGGGAAGATTGGAGGTGGTTCAAGGCATCTTTAGCGATTTGTTATGTCCAATCGTGGCAGCTACATTGCCAGATTAATGGGGAAATTGATCTTGTCTCTAATGCAATAAGTTCTTGCCTTCAAAGAGATGCTTGGGATATAATTAATATCTGTCCAGGATAAAAAGAAAAGTCTTCCTTAAATTAAGTGCAGCTCCTAGCCTGAATTTACTCATTGTGCTCTTTCCTTAGCAATAATCTAGACGTAGATTCCTGTTCCAGTGGCGTATTCCCAGATCTAACCCTGCTTCAGTAGAATTGACCAGGTGCTACTACTTCTTGTCATCTGTCATGCTCTTGTCAGAGTCTGAATCTGAGGAGGAAGCCAGACAGCTGACAGGGAGTGGGAGTGTGGCTCTGCTGGCTGTGGAGGAAGCTGGGGAAGGGCAAAGTCCTGCTGGGCAGAGCAGGGGAGAAGTAGAACAAGGGAGAGGGAGTTCAGAGGAAGACCCAGGCCCACCCCCTCTTCATCCTAGGGCATGCAGGGAGGAATGGAGAAGAGAGCAATGTGGGTTGCATGGCTTACAGGGGAGGAAAGGGCTCTGATTTCCTTCTTTAGCCACAGCTGGGAATGAGAGTTTAAAAGAAATGCATGCTGACTGCGGCAGCTGCTAAGGGCAAACATGAGTTATCTTGTGTTTACTTTGATGATCTGTATTCCTAGTGTCTTCCCAACTGTGTTATTGCTGTGCCTTCATGTCTTCATGTCTTCATGTTCTACCACTCCTCCACCACCACCTCCACTTCCTCCTCCTCTTTTACCACAATTTCTCCTTCTCCTCCTTTCTCTTTCTGCATTCTCTCTTCCTCTTCCTCCTCCTCTTTTTGCCTCCTCCTTCTCTTCTTCCCCCTCCCTCTTCCTCTTCCCCTTCCCTGTTCCTCTTCCTCCTCTTCCTCCTCCACTTCCTCCCCCTCCCCTTCCCTCTCCACTGCTTCTCCTTCTCTTCTCCTTCTCCATTACCACTCCTTTGTCCTCCTCCTTCTCCCCCCCTCCCCCCTCTCCTACTCCTCGTTGTCTAAGTATAAAGTATTATCTAGGAAAATGGGCAGAAAGAAGCAAAAAACACATTTGGATTGGCTGTTGTTTTTAGCCACCAACACGGCAAGCTATTTCTTCAAGCATTATTTACATTACTGGGCATATTTTCATTTGAGCCAGCTGTAAATTCTGCCTACAGCTGGCATGATAGCATGCTGCTCATAAAACAGAATGATTGTGCAATGCTACACCAACCATTAAATGTACTCTAGGTAATCAGGCGAGCAACCGCCTAACCAAAAGAAATTTAACTGGTCTGACCTCTCAACTGGGTCTTCAAAGGGCAATAGTTTTTTTTTTTTTAATTATTATTTTTGCAACAAGAGGAGGAAAAAAGTCTACATATAGCTCATGCGTCTATGTTTATTTTAGATGATTTATCAATGCTTTTCTCTGGGACTTAAAGGGCTAAACCATCTTTTTGGTTATCATATTGATTCATTATTCTCATTGTGTTCCTTTGTCATTTTTTATTATAACCAGCCAACCAACCAACCAACCAAGGAAGCATAGCAGGGAATGCTATACCATTTTAGACAAACAGTTGTCCAATCTCTTCTTAAAAACTTTCAGTGTTTGGGCACCCACAACTTCTGAAGGCAGGCTGTTCCACTGATTAATTGTTCTGTCAGAAAATTTCTCCTTAGTTCTAAGCTGCTTCTCTCCTTGATTAGTTTCCATCTGTTGCTTCTTGTCCTGCCTTCAGGTGCTTTGGAGAATAATTTGACCCCCTCTTCTTTGTGGCAGCCCCTCAAATATTGGAAGACTGCTCTCATGTCTCCCATAGTCCTTCCTTTTATTAAACTAGAAATACCCTGTTCCTGCAAACATTCTTCATATGTTTTAGCCTCCATACCCTCCAGGACTGTCCATTGTTTGCAAAAATCAAACCACCAGATCTTTCTCCCCTTTAGCCAAAGTGTTATGGATGCATTCTCTTGCCTAGTTAAAAAAAAAATATTCAGAACTGGGAGACAAGCTGTGCATTCCTTGAGAAGAACATATTTGCAATACAGAAGATGATTTATATCTTGTCACTCTAAACTATTAGTCATAACACCATTGTCTGGGATGTCTTCACAGAATATAACTTCAGCCTGAATTCATTAGTTCCCAAGAATTTCGTTGTCTGAAGCGCCGGGCAAAGAAATATCATTTGCTAATTAGTTTCACCCTTCCT